GCGGGGGTATTTAAATTTCAAATTCATTTTTCGTGCTTATTTTTGAGCCTATTTTTATTTATAAAGGGATTCTGCACACCTACAGGAAAATATCTTTCATTTGGTACCAACCACATGTAATTTGGTCCAGTAGTATGGTGAGGCTAGCTTTGCATAAGTTTTTTAGTATACAAGATTGTAGTCATTACGTGTATAGTCAATGATATCACCAATGCTAATATGACTTTTTTGTGTTCCAGTGGCTTCAATAGCTTTCACCTTCATACTAAACTTGAGTGTTTGGGCGTTCTTCAAGTTTTTAGTCTACTTGGTATTTGTCGATTGCATAGGAGTGGGGATTGTAATTGCTACTTTAATGTGGTAAGTCAACACAAGAGCATGTATTATTTTAACAATACTTTGCTTATTAGAACTACCGGTACAGATTTTTTCATAGTTTTGACAGGTTAACACGTTGAGTGCGGCATACATTCAAACAGGCCAATGACGGCAAGGTCCAGGCGAAGCCCCGGTTTGCCACCAAATCAGCGTACGCAATTAGTATTCAAATATTTCAGTCTGAAAAATAAAAGAGCAGTGGCGATTGTGCTGCGTTACCTCAAGAGTGGACGTAGTTCACTGAAACACCCAAAGGTAGCAGCACTGCCTGGATCCGTAGCCAGTGCCTTTGTAATGTGGCTTGAAGAGAGAAAATCTCCAAAACGGGGACAAAAGCATATTCAGATGGGATTTTACGGGAAATTTTAGTACCAACCTACACCAAAATAGAGCTCACATTCTAAGTTAGAGTCTGGCAACGATTATAATGTCCCCTGGTTATAGCTGAGCTGTACTGAATATACTGAACTGATGTAGTGGGAGTGGCGCTACTACATCTGTAGATATAGGCCGCACTCAACGTGTTAAGCAATAGTTTGTTTTAGTTTAATTTTTTTTTTAAATTCTTTTGCAAGCTGAAATACAGGTTGCGGCAAAAAGATTGATGGTTTTGTAATGTTAACGACTCAAACTTAAAAATGGCAGATGCGATCAGCTTAAGATTCAAAAAATTACATCTTACAAATTATATCCGTCTTGGGCCAAGCGTTCTTCCAATCTTGCTCTGAAATTAGCAAACACTTTCGCTTACATTGCAGGAGAATGGTTTGCCATTTCTTGGCGAATGGCTTCCTTCAGATCATCCAGTGTGCGGAGTTTGTTTGTGTAAACTCTTGATTTCAGCAGTCCCCACAAGAAAAAGGCTACAAATGGTGAAAACCAGGGAGCAAGCTGCCCACGCAATGTCTTCAAAATGCGAGATGACTCGGCCACAGAATTTGCTTCTTACCTCAACGGATTTGTGGGCGTAGCTCCATCCTGCTGAATCTAAATTCTGCTCAGGTTTAAGTGATTGTGCATTGAATAATCACTGGGCTTAAACTGTTGCACGGTAGCCATTTTGTATGGGTGAATGTGCAAGTGCTCCATCAGCAATGATGTTCTTTACGCTCTTAATACACAAATAGCTAACTAAAGACCACTTCTTTGTCTCAGAAGCTTGATTATCAATAGACAGCTTATTATCAATAACAGCAGAGTGCTGATGAAATATAATTGGTTGCCTTCCTTTTCCGCCAACAGGTATGTCAGCAACCACTACTTCCTGAAGCCAGCTTATCAGGGTCAAGACGTAGAGTGGGGTTACGCCTTTGACGTCCACCTTAATGCATTTTTTCCATCTCTCATCATCGTGCACGTATTCCAAACGCTGTTTTATCATGGTGAGTAATTGGATCAAAACGTACCATCTAAAAAAAACCCTATTAGATCATGTGTCAACTCAGATATATTAAGTGATTGCTAAACAAAAGTGAGTTAAATATCTTAAATATATGTTTGTCATACACATTAAATTATTTTATAGTCCTGATTCCTTACCCTTCAAAATACACATTTTTGCTTTTTCTTGAGTAATGTTAAAAATATTAATTAGGCTACTTAAAATTGCAATATATAGATTATAAATTATCACAAAGAAGGAAGGAAAGGAAACCTGAGATTATTTTGTAAACTTAGAAACAAAATATTGTCCGATGAATCCCTAAAAATTGCAAACAAAATCCCAAACTTAAGTTTTTGAGCAGTTTTAATGTGTATGTTCACAAAATTTAGGCGGTTTGAGGGCAATTTCCCCCACTACAATTTTTGCCTAACCCTTTAGCAAACATGGGCAAAATGTTTCCGTCATGCTTCTAATGTGCTTTGGTATTCCTAGACAGACCGGTTATGTCCTTGGACATTGCTACTTAGTTGGACATTATTCCGAGCTATTGCAGTACTTCTCCAATAATTTTTTCCTGTATATTTGCAATAGTTATTGGATATTGTATGTATTTTTAGTTTCTTCTGTTGCCTTACCTGTTTTGAAAAAAAAAGAATGAGTAAACAACAAATGAGAGTTTTAAGGTTATGTTTTGTGTCAAAATCGACTTTTGTTAACGATTTGTATATTATTTCAAATTCTTTTGTTAATCTTTCTGAGGAGAAGGTAGCAGTTTAAGAAAATATGAAAATAAGAAAGTTATAGTTATTGTAACTCACTGTAGTAAAAAAAAATAGGAATTCCTGTGTGTAATCAGGTTGCATAATTACGGTATCGCAATGGCTTAATGTATGTCACAGCTGACTTGACTAAATGTTTGTATTTACTTTTTACACCACCTGTTGAGCTATTATGTTACGAAGGTAGGGTTAAGTAGAGAGGATTGATTTCTTCCCCTAAAATCACCTAAGTTTTGTGATCGGAGTCTAGTGTGTTGGGTTTACCAGCATTGTGCAATAGACCATTAGGCCTGATCAATAAAACGTGTATCTGTGGTCAGGAAACAGCACTTTGAGTAAAATTTGGAATTCAAAACTAAATTGTTTGTTACCACCGTAATCAGACATTTTGCAATTTTTTACTTATCCTAACTTATCTGTTTCTTCCACCACTGGCTTTTTTGTTTGTAGAACATGATTAAAATATGTGCAAAATCTTACCTCCCAAAGGGGTTCTGGTTATAATGATTGAACACTTACCAATTTGTTTAACTTCAGCAATATTTAAGAGTATACTTTAATTTTAAATCTTTAATATAGTAATGTTCACCTTACAGCATTAATCAGCCAAGACTGGTTTTTCTCTCGCCTGTTCGGCAACACACTCTGGGTGGTAGCGTTTGGTTACTACGTTTATATCACATTCCTCGGATATACGTGTAAGTCGTATAATTTACTTTATTTACAATAAATAATCTGATTAACTGATGATTTCTGATCAACAACACTTTTAAAATTAAAACAGATAAAATTATGCATATTTTAGTTAGTTGCTTGTGTTTGTAAAGTCACAGTTTTTATTGTGGAATAGGAAACTATGTGTTGCAGAAATGCTAAAAGAATTTATTAACCCTTAAAACTCCAATGGCCTATAATCAATCTTTCATTTGCTACTCTGTGCAAATATCTTAACATCATCTGAAGAAATCTATACAAGATGGAAATCTTCTATCTGAAGGTCAATTTAATTAACACTTAGCTCTTGGTAGTGCTGTTAGTTAACCTACAGAAGACTGATCATTATAAGACATTGCCTCTCTGGTCAGGAGACAGTGAAGATGAATAGTTCCAGTCTTCACGCCTCCAACTCAAGGTGTTCAACTCGTGTGGTTACATGTCTCTTGCAGAGCTTGGTAGAAAATGTCCTCCAACTTTAAAACTAACGGAAAATAGCTCGGGATACATCCCGATAAGAGGATTTATTTGAGTTGCACCTTGAATCAGGTCAGGTCCTATTTCACTCAGGTTCTTCACTGTATCTGAGTCCAACTAAAGCTTTGAAAATTTTTAACCCTCCGAGTGTCATGTGTCGCTGCAGCGACTCACGAACACTGTTTACGGCGAAGGCTCTATGACTGACAAAATCGGATTGAACTGGATCGAGTTAGGTATCGTTCTTTACGTTATATTCTAAGCTTTCTCCAGAGGTCTGTCTCTAAGCGCTGTATGTTCTCTGAGCCGATCGTAATTGTAGCAGACAGCTGACGTGCATATTTGTAAACAGGTTAGTTAACCTCAGACCGATGACTGATGTGTTTTATTATGTTTATCATTGTTTTAGTGTTAAAAATCAAAAGTAGTGATATATACGTGGTGTATTATAAGAAGATTTAAGTGATTTTGAAGGGCTGGTTGATGATCCTGAAGAAGTAGGTAGTGATATTGATGTAAATTATCAGCCAGATTCCTAGCTATGGTTAGGCTATGCATTCTTAACTAAACGCTATGTACTGAAATCTGTTTTTTGCCCATAACTTATTTATTTGCAAATTTACTTCATTATATTATTATATATTTGTAATCCTCATAAAATTTAGAACAAAGTGGCTATTTTCAAATATTTATAGGCCTATAATTTATACAATTTCATTGAGTGCGAACTTATTTTTTTTAAATTTTTCCAAAATAATTTTTATTTTTACCTAAAAAAAATTTCTGAAACAAATATTCCTTAGGTTTTATGTATGATATTGAAGCCCATGATTTTCCAAACAAAATGGTATATAGAACAGTAGAATTAACATTGTTTTAAGCTTTTCAGATCCGTTTTAATAAAACCTTGCAAATGCGCCAAAAATAGGCAGACATTAAAACCAAAACAAGGGACACTCGGAGGGTTAATTTTATGTTCATAAGACGAGAAAGAAATTTAACATAGGCATTTTAAATGACTGAATAATTTATCTAGATCAAAGGTTTAAACATCTTTGGCCTTCATCAATGTTTTTCCTTCATATTTGCAGGTCTGCCAATCTTACAGAGGACACACGTCCTGTTGTACCCGCTAGTCCCGGTTTTGCTGATGTTCCTGGTGTCGCTCGCAGCTGGCTGGAACATTACCGAAACAGTCATGGACTTCTATCACTACCGGGTCGTGTAGCTTGGTGTTGTGAAATCAAACACAACTCTATTGTACATAATGTATTGTTACTTTATACAAATATTTATACATGTATCATCTGTTAACTTGTAAATAACATAACAATTCGTAAGAGATGTTTTATTTCTACCCTCTGTTCTATTTTTGGTCAACAAGTATCACATTTGGATTTGCTACACTGGATAGAGTCTAAAACATATTGTTTGACAACATAGAGAAATGAATTGGCTACTCATTTACTCAGGAATATTAGCTAGGTCAGCAGTATGACAAGATTTTCACAAAATCAGCAAACTATCTTCACGTTACAGTAATGCTAGGATAAACTGACTTCACCTATGGACCAGCTGTAACCAGTTATACTGAAACCGAACATGGTTAAAATGAGTTCTTGTCGGAGCATGATAGACGATAGAGACATAAAAGATGCAATACATTAGACCTACACTCTCCATTTTACAAGCCCTGCTTATCCGAGATCATTGTATGTAATGCTAGGATAAACTGACTTCATCTATATGGACCAGCTGTAACCAGTTTTACTGAAACCGAACATGGTCAAAAAAGCCTCTACTTGAGTGTAATTCTTGTTGGAGTATGATTGAGGATGGAGACATAAAATATGGAAACAGTTCACTCTAATTTTCAGAGCCCCTGTTATCCAAGGTAATTTTATGCCTAAATATATTTTACCTACGACCGTTTTTTCAAGAAGCCGTTTCAGTACAGTTCTTAGAATTGAAAAGTATCTCATAACAGCATTGTTTACTTTCATAACAGCATAGTTTTTTCATAACAACACGGGTAACTGACCTATGAGGTTTAAGGATTGAGAGAGGAGAAGCAAAATTGTAATGATTCGAAATTCAACTAATCAGCTGTTCAGGCCAATTTAATTGTTGATTGGTGCAAATAGTATTTGATACAATGATTCGTTGCATCACTGTCAGTGGCAATTAGAGGTTATAAACAAAAAACATAACCTCTCTTAGAAGTTGTGAGTAGTGATTTTTAGTAATTAAAACACCGTCGTAGGTAAAGTAGTGTACGCAACTCGCGTAAATAGTGTAAACGACTTTTGTAGAAGTTTTTAAGGAACTTGCCAATGCTCGTACTTTAAATTTTCTACTCGTATGCAGGTTTGCTGCAAAGGGGTATTTTCAAATTCTTTCTGTATGCGATTTGGATAATCTGCAATTCAAAAATGGGCGTTCGGACAATTGGAGTTACAGGCCTACTGTATAAGCAGCTGAAATTCAACAAATATTTTCAGAATGAAATTTTAAACGGAAACCAAAAGAGGAAGAAGGAATGATTCCAAACTTATAAACAGCATAGCTTTCTTGGATGATGTTAAACTTCTGCCTCGGATGGCCGGAAGTGTGATTCTTGCAGCGTGAGACGATCGTCATTCGCAGTGAGCCATTCTGCGGCTGGGCTGGCCGACCCAACCCTACCTCACTCTGCTAGACGATACCCTGGAAAAGATTGTTTGTTTGTAACACAAATGACAACATTTGAATGATTTTTTCCACCTCAGGAATTTTTAATTAGCATTTATGAGCACTGCAAACCTGATTATAGGTCCTTTACTAGAAATTGTTTTTTTTTTAATTCAATGCCTTTTGGGAAACTTCTGATTAATAGTTTTGGCAAATCTTAAGGTTAGAGAAGTTGATAAGCTAAACATCTTTGCTTAGTCTCCATGCTACTATAATTTTTTCCAAACCATATTTTTGTTGTTTTTTTAGTAAAAAAAAAAAAAAAACAATAGTTTCTTTAATATTAATATTTAATAGATCTTTGTGTCTAGTCCAGTTTTCATAAATTCCTAAATTATGAATACAGTTGATAATATGAGGAATGTTTATCACCCCTTTGTATGTATATATATGACATGAATAAAATTGTGCAAGTTAATTTGACTCGACTTCATATACATAAATATTTGTATTATCTGTGGGACATGATTTTATTGCTTAGAAATCAATTTTATTACAGTTATCAACTATTAATAGTTCATATTTACATTTTAGTACTATGCAAAATCTAGGAAAATTAATTTACATGTGTGTTAACATGCAGTTAATGGGACTTAGCTTGTTGTTGGACTATTTTGTAACATTAGTTATTGGTAATACTTTTTAGGTTAGGTTGTATTAAGTTCACCCTCACACCACCAGTTTCCCACCTCAGGCACATCCCGAGTTGGATTATGACACTTGGGGGACTCGACTTAACATTTCACCCTGATCTTCTACAGTTCCGAGTTGCTGCGTAACCCTTCTTGTACCTAACAAGACCAGTTTTGTTTGAATTTCTTTATTTATGGGAATAATTAATATAGAAAGGGTGCAGGCTTGTATAAACCTACTGGAAATACAATTTAAAATAAAAACATCACTAATATTTCACAAATTTTTAATTTTATGAGGACTTTTGCCAGCTATCCTGGCATCATCAGACACTACTGGAAATATTTTGTGTATTTGTTTCTTAGGCCAAAGCAAGAGCAAAATTCCTGGATACAAAAAATTGTTTACAAATGTAAGAGGATTGTTTTTCAAGTAAGGCCCGTTAGTGCATATAGCTAGGCTTCATAGTTTGTGTATACACCCCAACTAGGTTTCTTGCCACTTACTGGCATTTTGTGAACAGAACGGTGCCATTTGCAAAAATAAAATGTCATGAACACTTAAATTAAGCATTTTTAATTTTCTATCAAACGGTACCAAGGTCAAAACGTTCAAATAAGAAATAGCTGAAATATTACGATTTTTAGTTGAACAATGGGGCCATTTTAGCTTTATTCCACCCCATTTTACAACTAAAAATCGTAATATTTCAGCTACTTCTTATTTGATCGTTTTGAACTTGATACCATTTGATAGGGAATTAAAAATTCTAAATAAAAGTGTCCTTGACATTTTTCATAAAATCAGCAGTTTTTGTGTAATTTAAGTTTAAAAAATTTCAATGGGCGCCCATTTTGAAATTTTAAGTTGAATCAAGATGATTTTCTTTCTAACATGGGTCTCTTCTACCTTAACATACATAGCAAGTTTCATGAAGATTGGTCAAAAAAATTCAAAGATAAACATTTTTATGTAAAAAATACAAAATGGCGGATATCTGGCAATCAAAGCGATTTTGGAAAAAATGTTATACTTGATTTTCTCTTTATTTTGACTCAAGGAATCACTACGTAAATTATGTCCCCACTTTTTTTAACAACCTGTATACCTTGCATGTGAGGGAAAATAAGAAAAAGGTAAAAATAATCAAGTGGCTTTAAGACAATTGAGAAACACAAGCACCATTTCTAAATACACATAAAGAATCAAAATCACACACTTAATTGTACTTCTCTATTTCTGTGTTCTGTTCTATATAAGGGAATTCTTTATTTAACTGAGACTACAGTTAATAAATTACAGTAATTACTACACTCACCAAACCTATTAATATTTTTCAAGTGAAAAACAACTAAGGTGTAGTGCTTGAAAACCAAACAAAATTCATAAAATATATAAAAATTATACCTCTATCTGCTTTATTGTACCATCTTGATCTAACATCGGGAAATTACAATGAAATAAATATAATACAAACAACATATCAACCTGGTCAACTGCTATTTTACTGTGAGGTAAATTTTCAGCCTACATATGTGCTCAATAGATGATAAACGCAAAATTATATAATACCTTTAGATTTTTTATTTGTGTTTTCCTTCCTACTTTGAAAAAAAAAAAACACATTGTATTAATAATACAGTATCGTGAACAACATAAACTTAAAATTACACTCACAATTGTTTGGATAAAATATTGTTCTGAATTGATCATGTTAGACACATTTAAGACATTAAGTTAATTAATATAATGTGATGGTTAGTGTTTTCAAAATTGCAGCTAGTGAATCGAAAGAGTACAGATAAATTGTTTTTTATAATAATTACAATCCTGATTATTGAGTAATATTATTATATCAAGTTGGCAACAGTTTTCAGTTTTAAAGTTCATATATTCTATTACAATTATTGAAAAGCTGATAATTTATTCTTTTGGAATAGCATGAAATTTTAGGAATTGGTTTTTTACTGAACACATACTTTTCACCTTCTGTAAAAAAATTGTGAAAAATCAATAAATGCTTTATCATTTTTTGTTAACTGAAATGTTCTTATATACAATTCAACTGTTTTAAAGCTTAAAACCAGTTAACCTCCAATAAGAGCTCATATTCCTGTATTTCACACCACTCTATGTTCTGAACTTACCTCTAATGAACGGAAGCCCGGTTGAAACTTTCTTCTGATAGTCGAGGTATTGTTCTCCGAAGAAGTTTATCAACGTGATTTCCTCAACCATTATTCGGTCGTGGAAAAACTTCCAGCTGGCCAGAATGTAAGCCACGAAACACAACGGGTTAACCAGGATCATCTAGAAAAAGCGTAAAGAAAATTACATGTGGCTTGAGTTCAGCATAGCTTATTGAAATTGGGGTTCGTTGAAAGTTATTTTGGTTTTCAAGAACATGATTTAAAATTGTCGGTTTGAATTTATTAGTTGGTGCCTTCCTTATTTTTATTAATGATGTTTAAACTTTTGTAGTTTTCAATAATCTGTTTTTAAGCACTGTCCAATTAGAGTATTGATCCTGTCATGTTCCAGAATTTCTTCCTTTCTACAGACAAGATCAAATTCATTTGCATTTACTTAAAAATTATTTTAAAATTTTTTGCAGGGTTGTGTTTGCAGAGCTGTTAATATTAGTTTGTCTCAAATTTGTCTAACATTATAGACAAAAAACTTTGCATGGCAAAAACTTCTGAATGGAAAAATCTTGATTTGCCAATGAGGTCCTTCTGTAAAATAATTTTTACTCTACGATGCTAATAGCTAGTCTGATGATTTCTGACCTGTAGTCATTGTAACGTCAAGTAAATAATCACAGATGATGTGAATTTATGGTTTAGAGATGGTTTTTAGTTGATGAAGAATAGATTTTCATCTCAAACAATGCCCTTACCTGAGTGCCCATCGACCAGTAGAACCAGCCGACGTAGCTAGGGTGACGGCAGACGCTGTAAATACCGTGAGTCACCAACTGATGGTCGTTATGGCGTACACTCTGGACCACATGATTGAAGTTGGTACGGGCCGTCCACATCGCACACTTACGTAGACACTCGCCTCCTATGCATAGACTGAGACCGACATACGACACGAGCCTCAGCGTTTTCAACTCTAAAAATTACAAAATGTTACCCTCAATCCCACTATGTAAAAAAATGGTAAGATTATAAACACAATGTTTCAACCAAAAAAGATTACATAACAGCAATATATTTCAACGCCTCAGAATAAAACAAACAACTGCTGATAATATGTCTTGACTTTGCTAAAAGAGATTAAAACAGCATACAAAAATTTGTTTATACTAGAACACTAGAAGACAAATACTGAGTTATTGAAAGTTCCGGCCCACCATATGCTGGATTAACGGGCTTTTACTGTAACGAGATTTAAAACAAACTTGAAAACCAACATAATATTTTGAGCAAGATTGTAAACCAGCTATGAACCAGAAAGGGTGTTGAGCTAAAACAACTTTTTACTTATAATTTTTTCCTCTATGCAAATGGTCTTCAAAATACAAACAGTGTAGTAGCCTACGTTATGCCTACCGTAGTCTACCTACTTTATTATTCTACGCCAATAGGTTTTGGAGAAAAGTGCAAAAAGGGGTACCTTGACTAATAATTTTATCCGAACAGAGAAACATTTACTGTATTGCTATTGATTCGTTGTAAAATAGTTACTAAGCCACTGACTTACCAGGGAAGAAGTATGCTTCAGTGAAAAATTCAACCCAGCTAGACACAGCGGCAATCATATACTCATTGCTGTGATTCAAAATGAAAGAATCGATAGTCAATGTCCTTGGATTAGTGAGAGCGATTGTTAGGAATTCTGAGTAATGGAAGAATGCCATGACACACATGTACCTGGAACCAATAATATTTATGTAATTTTTTACAAACAAATGGAATTATAAACTGATAACATAGTGACCCAAACTTTACTACACTTCGTACCTAGAACCTATGCAACTAGCTGGTCAGATAATAAGTAAACGGATAGTATTTTGGCTAACAGAAAAGTTATGATTTTCCATACCTATATTGAATGTAAACATATGGCGACTTTGGAAGTTTTCCAGCATTGATATGAAAAAAACAACCAATTATTTTCATCTTAAAACAGTAAAAACTCACCATCCATAAGGGATCCAAGGGTTTGGTAGCAGGAATGCCACTAGCAGCCCTCCAGTAAAGACTGAGCCTAGAAAAGTAGCTCTCACTGCAACCTGGACAAATGAGTAAATAGCGTTAATTTGGTTCAATAAATATACAAAAATTTGCTGATTTGGCTGATTTTTTAATCGGCCAACCACAAAATCAACTGTGTGCGCTTAGCGCTTGTTTTGTGTACATTAATTGTTTTCATTATTTTCTATGTAATATTAGTTTTCAGTTATTTAGACCTGTTAAACTCATTATACAGTATGGTAATTGGTCATAGGCTATTTATTTTAGTCTCTTAATTTACCGTACCAATGTTAAGGCAAAGAACATTTTCATTTTTTTATTTCTTTTTAATTTTAATTATTGCTGATTGTGTTCTTCTGTCTGTGAAGTGGTGAGCGACAAAGAAGACTCTCCCCACACACAGATGAACAGTCTTCGTGGGGATTATTGTTCTTAACACAAGATTGTACCTAATATCTGAATTTTGGTACTTAACTTAAATATATTTTTATCTTCTTAAAATCGGTTATGGAAATAACTTAACCCTTAGGGAGACCAACTTCCGGGATTTCAGAAGCTGGTACTTTTTGCTATAAGTTTTAGATACAAAAAAAGATGAAAGAGGGCTGTGTTTTTCAAAAGTTAGGCTAGGCCCTACAGCATTTTTTCTATAACATTGCAGAAACTGTCAAAAGTACCAAGGTCCTAGGCAGTGTGTCATATACTATAGGGTCAGTCTCCAAAGGATTAAAAAGTTGATAGCTTTTTAAAACATAAACACAGGAGCCTAACTTATAAGGATAAGCATCAATAGCACAGAAAGCATACTACTAACTTATAACCCAGAATGCCAACCGCATGGTAAAAAGCATTAAGTGTTTTGAGAGAGCTTTGCCTGTCAATCGTAGGCAGCGCCACCAGCGTTGCTATGCTGAGTGCATGGCAACGCTGGTGGCGCTGCCTACGATTGACAGGCAAAGCACGCTCAAAACACTTTTAACCCTTTGAGTGCCAACGTCCGGGGAACCGGACGTTTTTAAAACGAGCCAAAAGTGCCGACGTCCGGCTGACCGGACGTTTCGTAATGATCGAACAGTTTTCATAACAACCGAATGGATACTCGGATTCTTTTAACCCATATATTAACATTGAGTCAAAAGTTACTAGAGATGCGATACTTCGATTTTCGTTGGTCGAAATATCGAAAATTCGATTTTTACGAAATTTTTACCTAAAAATCGCCAGATCACGCTCGGCATTTTTAGCGCGACCTTCGGGAAAAATCATCGGCATTTTTTGAGCGTTACTTTTATTTCTCGCCTGGCACTCTAAGGGTTAATGCTTTTTACCATGCGGTTGGCATTCTGGGTTATAGTAGTATGTTTTCTGTGTCGATAGGTTCACCATCGATATGTTTTCGGGGCTAAAACACATCGATGTAAATCAAAGTTTTTTCCAGTTTTTTGTCTGCTCTCTGTACTGTAAAAGCTTACTAACCAAAAACTATGTAGTACAATTTGATATTGGAAAACATTGATAGGCTATTTCAATTACTTGGCCTAAAACATTGATGTAATAAAAACATCAGTTAATAATCTACCATCGATGTAAAATACATTTAACATCAATAAAACCCATATTGATGTTTCAAAAACATTGACTATTGATACTCATCCCTAGTAACTTAGGGCATTTAGGTATCTAATAAGAGGATGTTTTTCTTACCTGGTACAGATATCCACTGAACAGAACAAAAACTATGAGATTCATAAATACAATGTTGGTTAAATAGATCAACCATATGATGCTGTAAACATCGATATGCAATAAGTCTAGTCTAAAGTGTGGAGTTATTAATGACAATACCGGCAATATTGTAGGAGATATAAAACAAAAGAGACTTAGCTTCGCTTCCTTTACAATCATTTTTAATTTACAAGTCTATTAAGTTCAAGTTTGAATGATTTAAACCTGATAAAGTTGAGGCCTAGGCTAAGTCAATGTTTAATTACATTGGGTCTTAAATCCAACTTTATAACTGAAACTAATCGGTTATTTGATGAAAAATAGGCTTAGGTATTATGAAAGGTTTGACATTTTATTCGAGAAAATTCGCAGCTAAATTAAGTTAATTCCCTAAAAGTAGATTTTGCTGAGCTCTCTACACACTACACTACACACTTGTAAAAATGTAAACGTAAACATAACCTCAACTCTAATCCGTAAGGGGATAGTAACTCAAACTCAACTCAACTCTATCTCCTACATGAACCCTTTTTTACCCAACTCACTCTTGTTTTTGCTGCAGGCTGATTATTTTTCATAAAGCTTAAATTAACAACATCACTTTGCTCCCCACTTTAATGCTCCCGAGTCTTATCAATAAAATAATGCCACATGAGCATAACTAATAAAATTATTTAACTTATGACAGTAATTTACTCGATTCCTTAGACTATTATTATACAGTTACTTTGGCAGTTTGTTAACCCCAGGGGCCCATTTCATAATAAAGTACAAACTAATATTATTAGTAAATCAGCTGATCGCCCAATGCAAATCGAATGGAAATTACAAGTTACAAGTTGTAACTTGTAACTTGTAGTTTATTATGAAATGGGCCCCTGATATAAAAAAAGTAAAAATATGCCTTCTCCGTGGATTTTTTACCAATGTCTCTCTCAGGTCAGCTGTTCAAGATAGTATTGTCAGTTTGGTATGGAGTTGTCAACTGTTTACACCTGATTTATGAACGTAGCATCTATGTCCTTGAATGAATTGTTTTCGTTTAGTTTTGGTTGTCAAATTTTGTATTACTGTACTGCATCTGCATACTTGTAAATTAATAGTAACTGGAGACATCAATATTTTGGCAAGTATTGTAATTGCTAACAGTATACGTGACTTAATCTTCAACATTATGCTGCTTGTCAAGAATTACCGTATTAATAAGTACTCTCTAGATTACTGGAATGACCGTGTTGTATAATTTCATCAAATTATTTTCCTAATAGCTTAGGTTTGAGAATCACTTAGTCTGATAAGTTGTGATTAGCTTGTAAAGTACCTAATATAATATAGTTGTAATATAATAGGTACCTAACCTAATAGTTTTAAAATTGAGCTTTAACTTAGGCCTTCTTGAAGCTGATGGAAGCTAGCTCTTTAAGACTCTTGCCCCATCAATGACTTTGTAAAAACATTTCAAATTGATTCCTAATAGCCTACTGAGTGATTCATATTGAAATATAACTCTTTAATTTATTTATTAATGTCCCAAGTGATATTTACTTTAACATAGGCCTATTGTTTTATAGGGTGCTCAGTGCTTTATCATTAAGTTTAATCTTTCAGTTTTATTAGGGTACTTTGTGTCTTAAGTGATACATTTTTTAATGTAAAGTATTAGCCTAAGGCTACGGCCACAGGGGCGTTTTTTCACTCAAGAACGCAATGTGAAAAAACGCGAGAAATATGAGCAGCATTAAAACTAGGTATGTAACACGCAGTGTGTTTTCCCCCAGTAGCGGGCGCCTATTTGTTTCAATGCTACTCTAATTTTTCGCATGTTTTCACGCTGCGTTTGTGCGTGAAAAAAAACGCCCGTGTGGCCGCAGCCTAAGGGTGTGTTGCTAGCCTAGTGGTTGGCACCTCACACTTCGGGAGGGATGGGTTCAATTCTCGACAAATAAATCATACGGTGTTGGACCGCTTCCCCAAAAACCTTTTAAGTAACTTACATCTTTGAAAAGGCCACAGGCATAGACAATGAACAGAGGAACAACTCTAGAACTGGTTAGTAAGATTATGATAACATATTTATTTTCTAATGTTAATGAGTTGGTAGCGTGGTAATGACAGTAGTTTGTTTCTTGCAGGTTGTCTCTTCTAGTTAGAAGTGATGTTCAAAATTTACAGCTGTGTCTGAATACTTTGTAAAATTCCACAAATATGCCCAACCGCAATGTTGCTGATTATGTCAAAAGGAGGGAAATCAATGTAAGTGTTTACAACCCATTTTATTGCTTATTCAACCTATTTCATTTGCTGTCGTTTTAAAATCAGAACACACAATTCTAAATAGCTCTGGTGAATGATCAAAACTGAATCTAGCCCAGAAAAACTCTTCAAAATTAAATTTGGGCACGTCCATAAAACAACATTGCCTATAAATTAAGTTAACTTAGGCATAGCCTACCTACATTGTATTTTATTAGTTTCATTTTGTTTTTGCACTAATCACTGGAAGACTAATCTGTAAAGTATGAGTGCTGTGGCAATAGGCAAGGTCAGATCACTTAGGCCTAACCTAAGCTCACCAATCAACGTTTAAGTTAATAAATAATTAGGTCTAAGACCCATTTTTAAAATTTTTTTAAACAGTTAATATAGGTAATTGAACTACAAAAAGTTAGGAAAATGTTTGTCAAAACTGTGTATGGTTCTTTTGACTAAGGAGGGAGTGAGAGAACAACTTCAGCATAAGCTTCATGTGACCGACAGCTTCGTTCACCGTCTCGGCTTGGAGAAGGAGCTTGAAGGACACCAAGGATGTGTCAACTGCCTAGAGTGGAACTCAGAAGGCCGGTGAGCTAGAGACAATCATTTGCATTTCATTTAGTCAAACGATTTAATAAGCTAAATCAAATTTTGACACCCTGTTGTAGACTAGTTTAACTTCAGAAGATTACATTACATAGAAATGTACAGTATGAGGATTTAACTTTAAGCCTATAATGATTTTGAACAGCTTAATGATTGGCTTTTTGTTCCGGCAGATGTCAATTACAGTTATATCATATTTGCTTACCGAAACAGCTGTAGCACTAATTTATGATGGAGTGTCCTCACAATGCTTATGTTACACTTTTGTTAGGACTTGTTACTGTTACTATACAGGCAGCCTGCACTTTCTTCAGTTTAAGTAATTTTTCTTTAATCTTTTATTGTTATACTTTTACTTACTCATGTCCATTTTTAATAATTTCTTTGTACAGTTCATTTATTATTTATCAGAATAATAGGCTAGACAAAGGGTTAACTTAACAGATTGTGTAATTTAGATCACTATCCTGCAATCGTTTAGTGGCTGTACCTCATATAACGGTTTATATTAGACACTCTTCCATTACAATTGCGTAATTTCAGTGTAACTGCATACCCATGACAATAATTGGGCGAGTGTAAAGTTGTCACATTGTTCGCTGTGGCTTTTTTATTAGAGAAGTCAATGGGAGGAGGCTGTCACTATCCTACGATAGTTTGTATATAATGAGACTAGTTACTGTAGCTGCAAGATTAATGCATTGGGAAGTTTCCAAGTACAAGTGAATTGATAAATTGGGATTGTTTCGTTGACGAGGAGAAATCACTTAAGTTGGATATCTATTCAGTACATACCCAAAGCATTTATTAGTTGTAGGTTCCCTACACTTAGAGTAAAAACAATCACTGTGCCCAAGCCAACCAGTCAAAAGATATGTGGTTAGAATGTCTACTTCAATAGATCAATAGATAATTTTGCATTAATTTAAATTAGTTTTTATCACAAAAACTATTTTATTTTCTTGCCTGAGGTTTTTCTTAAATTATTCTCGATTCAACTGTTCATTTTCAGAATTTTGGCATCGGCCTCAGATGATTTTCAAGTCATTCTCTGGGATCCTTTCAGGCATCGGAAAATCCAAACCATTCAAACTATACATCATGGAAATATATTTTCTGTTAAGGTGAGTTTAGTGTTGCAAATTTTGAAGTGTAACATACTAAACTAAATTTTTACAACAGGGTAATTTATTACTAGCCTACTACATCAATGTAGATATTGTTGTACAGCAACACCCGAAATCCACTAGGCCTATGTCAAAGAGTAACATATGAAAACTCTATGCAAGAATAACACTGCGGTTGACAACTTTGGCTGTTTTGTGCTGTAACTGGGAAATCACGCTTTGAAATACTATTGTGGCGTCGGAGTAATCAGTAGCCTGCCCATTCCCATTGTTAATATAGTAGACTGTCAGGTCCGAACACCTGATAACACATTTGCTGGGGTTGTGTGATACTTGGTCGTGGTCAGTTGTGGTAACAGCTACCGGTAATGCGCTTAATGGATGGTAAGGTGAAAACGTTTGAATTTAGTTTCATCCAAATGAGAGGCATATTATAGCATGTACTGCATCCCAGTCGTTTTGGACGTAGTTTTCCAAGAACCCAACAGATAGCAGCACTTAACAAAACTGTCAATATTTTTCTGCCATTCTCATGAATATTGTAGTTTTTATAAAACAGCAGTAATTGATTTGGGTCATCCAAGACTTTTGAAATCCAAACTTCCCAAATTACAAAATGTCTCCTGAATTTGGATTTCTAGGTGCTTTCAATAAAAAAAATACATGGTGAAGATAAACATAACATTCCCTGGCTTTTAAAAGGTTTTCAGATATTTCAGATAATTTTTTTTAGACCAATTTTGTTTTTCCGCAGTTCTTACCAGGCACCAATGACAATACGCTGGTCACAGGAGCGGGTGACTTTCAGGTGCACACGATAGACGTTACGCTGAAGGAAACGACTCAGGTGTGTGCATGCGCAACAGGCCGAGTCAAGCGGTTGGCGACTGCGCCTCAAGTGCCCTTCCTGTTCTGGAGCGCTTCTGAAGATGGAGCCGTCAGGTAATCGATTTCTGAAATTTCTGCATGCTTATGACTAGAGTTAGAGTGAAGTAATTGATAGACAATCTTTAAATTGAACATAATGTCTTAGTTCTAAAATATTTCAATGAGAAGTTAGAATTTTGCTGGACACTGGACACAAACAATGTAGGCTAACTATAGATTTAGCACAGTTTAAACAGGAACATTTTCACACTGAAAACATACTTTGAAAGCTTAAAAAAGTGGTTTGTACTATAGAAAAATAACTTTTTTACATTGGCATGTTTGAGTATTTTTTGTATGAGCTTTGAAATAATCAAATAATCAATGTTTTTACAAGAAAAAAATACACTTTTTAGAGGGGGAATTGAAATTTTAGAGCGAGGCCTTAGAAACCCAGTATAATTACACGGTTCATACTTTTTAACGATTTCAGAAAACATTTTTTTCTTCACTAATTGGCATTTTTCCGTATTTTACATTTTCTTTGAATAACGTACAATATTTCTTACA